GTCGCAGGGCAGGCCGGGGGCTGGGAAGGAAGGCCTGGGACCGGCTCTTTTCCGCCTGGGACCGGCTCTTGTCCGCCTGGCACCAGCTCTTGTCCACCTGGGACCGGCTCTGGGTTGTGTCACAACGTGGGGCCTGCGCTCACTGAAGAAAAGGGAAGGAGGGAACTGCTCCTCCCCCCTCCCCCGAGGTGTAGGTGTCTGTGCGGCAGCGGCTGCCACTCCTCACGCCAGCGCCTCCTGCAGGGCTGCCGCAGTGTGGAGGAGTTCCAGTGCCTGAACAGGATTGAGGAGGGCACCTATGGGGTGGTGTACCGAGCGAAGGACAAGAAGACAGGTGGGTGGGCTCGCGTGGCCCCCAGGGGGACGGAGACGGGCAGGGGTGGGGTTGCCTGAGGAGGGTCTGTGGTCGCGCTCTACACATCCCCAAGTGGCCTCCATGCTGCTCTGAGGGAGGCCGGGCCACGTGCAGGGAGCTGGGATCTGAGCCCTGGCCCTTCAGGTACACAGTCCCCGCGATCCTGGGAATCCCCCCTGGTGTTGGCAGGGGTCTGGCCTTGCCCAGCCTGCACCTGGGCATGACTCAGGGGTGACACTCAGAGCAGCTGAACCCCTGGTACCTCCAGAGGCCGAGGCAGCCTGGCCAGGAGACTCCTGTTTGGTTGCGACAGCAGGGCGGGTGGACCTAGCCTGGAGGGACGGCCCCTAACGGGTGGGCGTCCAGCGCCCCAGTCTGGGCCGGGTCTCGGAAGGGCAGAGTGGGGTCTGAGCCGAGTCCCTGCTGGAGGCTTGAGGGGGGGTCACAGCAGGTGCCAAGGAGGCTGGTGCGAATGGGCTCGTGTCCGCGTGGACACGCTGGGGCTTCCTGGCGCTGGCACGTGTGAGCTCCCCGCCAGGGCACCCGAGTCCTGGCCGACGCCCGCGGGGAGGGTCAGCGCCGTCTCGGCCCCGTTTCCAGACGAGATTGTGGCTCTGAAGCGGCTGAAGATGGAGAAGGAGAAGGAGGGCTTCCCGATCACGTCGCTGAGGGAGATCAACACCATCCTCAAGGCGCAGCACCCCAACATCGTGACCGTCCGGGTAGGCGGCCTGCGCGGGAGAGGCCCGGCCTCGCCGTGTCAGGCCCTTCCCAGTCCTCACTCGGTCCCAGCTCCCGCCCGCTGCCTGCTCAGATTCAGCTTCTGGGGCGGCTGGTGGTCAGGGCACAGGCGAGGCCAGGGGCGCGGGGACCACAGCCTGGTCTCGTTTCCTAGGAGATTGTCGTGGGCAGCAACATGGACAAGATTTACATTGTGATGAACTACGTGGAGCATGACCTCAAGAGCCTGATGGAGACCATGAAGCAGCCGTTCCTGCCAGGTGAGCCGGGCGGGGCTGCAGCCTGTCCCCATAGGACCCCTGCGTGCATGTGAGTGCGTGTGCCCGCATGTGAGTGCGTGTGCCCGCGTGAGTGCGTGTGCTCGCGTGAGTGCGTGTGCCCGTGTGAGTGCGTGCGCCTGTGTGAGTGCGTGTGAGTGCATGGGAGGCCACGCGGGGCTGTGCGTCTCGGGGTGAGAGCACCGTGCCCCTTGCCCCAGGGGAGGTGAAGACGCTGATGATCCAGCTGCTGTGTGGAGTGAAGCACCTGCATGACAACTGGATCCTGCACCGCGACCTCAAGACCTCCAACCTGCTGCTGAGCCACGCCGGCATCCTCAAGGTGAGCGCGACCCCCGGTGAGTGCGGCCCCGGTGAGCCCGGCCCCCGGTGAGCCCGGCCCGGCACCCACTCCCGGCCCCACTGTCCTTGCAGGTGGGGGACTTTGGGCTGGCGCGGGAGTACGGGTCCCCTCTGAAGGCCTACACCCCTGTCGTCGTGACCTTGTGGTACCGCGCCCCGGAGCTGCTGCTGGGGGCCAAGGTACGTGCTGGGCTGGGTGGGGCCTGCCCCACCCTGCGCTCTGTCCCGCTGGCCCCTGAGTGTGCCCCTGTCCCCAGGAGTATTCCACGGCCGTGGACATGTGGTCCGTGGGCTGCATCTTTGGGGAGCTGCTGACGCAGAAGCCACTGTTCCCCGGGAAGTCAGAGATTGATCAGATCAACAAAGTGTTTAAGGTGGGTCAGGGCACCATGGGTGGGGGGATCAGGGTCTGGCTGGGGGTCACTGCTGGGCGTGGCTGTTTTGAGACGCCCCTTTCTCAGGACCTGGGGACGCCCAGTGAGAAGATCTGGCCCGGCTACAACGAGCTGCCAGCCGTGAAGAAGATGACCTTCACCGAGTACCCCTACAACAACCTGCGCAAGCGCTTCGGGGCACTGCTCTCCGACCAGGGCTTCGACCTCATGAACAAGTGAGCCACTGTGGGCGGGGGGTGGGCGCCTTCCCAGCCTCCCAGGGCTCCAAGCGCCTTGTTCTCCCAGGTTCCTGACCTACTTCCCTGGGCGGAGGGTCAGCGCAGAGGACGGCCTCAAGCACGAGTATTTTCGCGAGACCCCCCTCCCCATCGACCCCTCGATGTTCCCCACATGGCCCGCCAAGAGCGAACAGCAGAGGGTGAAGCGTGGCACCAGCCCGAGACCCCCCGAGGGAGGCCTCGGCTACAGCCAGCTGGTGAGGGGCGGGCAGGCAGGGGGGACGGTGTGAGGGGTGTCCCTGGGATTAGCTGGCCTGGCCAGGGCCCCACGGTGCCGCTTGCTCCCCAGGGTGACGACGACCTGAAGGAGACCGGCTTCCACCTCACCACCACCAACCAGGGGGCCTCAGCCACAGGCCCTGGCTTCAGCCTCAAGTTCTGAGGTTTAGAGTGGACCCCAGAAACAGCGGGACCAGGGGCAGGAGCGGCGACAGCCTGTGGGCCAGACCCGCGTCCTGCCCCGAGGACAGGCGGCTGCGGCCTGGGCTGCGGTGACGTGGCCTCGAGTCGAACTGCCGGCCCCATTTTCCATGTTCCGTTTGTCAGCTTGTAAATCTGTAGAATTAAATCTTATTTCTTCTGGAAGAAAAGGCTCTTTTTTCAGATTTCTCACACTTGCCACATGAGGTGGGGAAGCCAGTGCAGAGGGCACAGCCACACGCGCACGCAGTCAGATCCTGGCTGTGATTTCAGTCTCTCTAATCTTGAGGCCGCTGCGTGGGCGCCTCCTGCCCTCAGCGGGCACCGTAGCCCAGCGCCCACAGCTGGGCACGCAGAATTGCCTACGAGGTGGTCGCCCCTTCTAAGATGCGGGGAAATGATGGAGGGAGCGCTGCTGTGTCTGGCCCTGCGCCGGCCCTGGCCCCACGTGGGCGGGCCTCTCCCTGCCTCCAGCTCCTGCTCTGTCGGGACGGCCTGGCCCCAGGCACCCCAGCTCCTAAGGGGCCCGGTCTAGAGGGCCCCACCCCCACCCCAAGAAAGGGCGTGGAGACGTCAGAGAGAAAACCTTTATCAGCGCCGGAGCTCAGGGGCGCACGCGCACGCGCCAGGAGTAGGTAGTGAGCACGCGCTGCCGCCGGCGCACCACGCAGGTGTAGGTGCCCTCGTTGATGGCGTTGGCGATGATGCTCAGGTGCGCCTCGCCCAGCGCCAGGTACCCGGGGTAGGAGGACTCCAGCGGCTCCTGGTCCTTGTACCAGCTGCGGGGGGCAGGGAGCCTGAGTGGGGGGACCCCAGCCCGCCGCCCCTCGCCCCGGCCGGGTCACTCACTGCACTTTGCCTTTCTTGTGCAGGATCTTCTGGCCGCAGCGGAAGGG